ACTTGTGCTCAAGTCCCTTCACCAGCCTCGTTGCTCTTCTCTGGACCCGCTCCAGCCCCTCAATATCCTTCCTGAACTGAGGGGCCCAGAGCTGAACACAATACTCAAGGTGTGGCCTCACCAACGCAGAGTACAGGGGAAGGATCACTTCCCTGCTCCTGCTGGCCACACTGTTCTTGATGCAGGCCAGGATGCCATTGGCCTTCCTGGCCACCTGGGTATGCTCTGTGTGCTCGCCATCGGTGACGCTCCTCACTTCAAAAAGGACCTTGAGGTGCTGGAGCGCCTTCAGGGAAAGGCAGCAAGGCTCGTGAAAGGAGTGGAGAACATGGCCGATGAGGGACGGCCAGGTTTGGTTAGTCTGGAGAAGAGGAGGGTCAAGGGGGACTCAGCACTCTCCACAACGCCCTGATAAGAGAGTGCACTGAGGGGGGGAGCAGGCTCTTCTACCACCGTGAGAAGAGTGAGCTCAGTGAGAGGAGCTGAGGAGATGACCTCGTGATGAGAAAGGAGATTCAGATTAGATATCAGCAAAAAATCCTTTCATCGATGGCGTGGTCGTAGAGATTCACATCAGATATCAGCAGAAATCCTTTCACCATTCAGTTTGTCGTGCATTAGAACGGGCTGCGCAGGGAGGTGGTGGAGTCACCACCCTGGAGGCTGATGTAGTTTAGTGGTTCAGGGGTTTAAAAGTGGCAGCTGTGGGTTTTGGGGCTGGACCGGATGACCCTGAAGGCCTCTTCCAAAACTGATAACCCCACAATCCCATTATTGGGATTCCATGATTCCATCCTCCCAGGGGAACGAGGGACAGGAGGAGAGGGAACGGCCTCAAGCTGCGCCAGGGGAGGCTCAGCTTGGACACCACGAGGAATTTCTTCTCAGAGAGAGCGATCAGACATCGGGGTGGTGTGAGGCGGTGGTGTCACCGTCCCTGGTGGGATTTAATTTACAACGGGACTGGACGCGGCGCTCAGTGGTTGGCGAGGCGGTGCTGGGCCGCAGGTTGGCCTGGATGATCTCAGAGCTCTTTTCCCACCGGGTTGATCGCGTTATTTCTGTGTGTGTGTGTGGGGTCTGTGGTGCCCGGGGCAGCCCCTTCCCCTCACATGTGTCCCCCTCCATTCCCTCCCTCACACAAAAAAGGGGGCGGAGCTTCCTGCACGGCACTTCCGGCCCCGGCGCGGGCGGAGCGGCCGCTGCGGTGCCCGCGCTGTGCCCCCCCCCCCTTCCCCCCCACCCGTGCCCTCCCCACACGTGTCCGTCCCCCCCACACACACACACACACCCCACCCGCGTCCCCCTCATGCAGCGCCGCGACGACCCCGCGGGCCGCCTGGCCAGGGGACAAGGCCCCGGCGGCCGCGCCCCGCCGCAGCGCCGCCCGGCCCGCGGCGGAGGGGCCCGCGGGGCCGCCAGCGGGGCGCAGCCGCCTCCCCCTGCGGCCGGCGGCGGCGGCGGTGGCGGCGGTGGTGGCGGTGCCTCGGGGGGCTCTGGCTCTGGCGGCGGTAGCGGCGCGCCCGCCCCGCTGCTGACCGGACCCGGCGGGAAGATGGAGCCCGAGAACAAGTACCTGCCCGAGCTGATGGCGGAGAAGGACAGCCTGGACCCGTCCTTCACGCACGCCATGCAGCTCCTCACCGCAGGTACCGGCACCCCCCGGCGGGAGAGGGGAGGCCTGGGGAGGACGGGGCAGTTCGGGCTGGGGTGCGAGGTGCGACCCCCCCCCGGGTTGAAAATTTGATAAAATTGGGTGTTTCGCTGTTTAATTCCAGCCTAATCGAGCCCAGATCGAAACGCAGCCCCAGAAGTTCTGCATGTGTTACATTAACCTTATATTGTAATTAATGTACTGTACTATATTTTACTATATCATGATATACTGTATTATACTCTATTACACTATATCATACTGTAGGGTATTATACTATATTATATACTATATATACTATATTATGTTGTACTGTATTGCATTCTATTAGCACTTGTGGTGGCGTAACCTCAGCCAGGCAGAAGGACAATTGTAAAGAGAACCCTGTGGGTTGAGGTAACCGTTTAATGATTGAATTAACATGTAATAATAATGCTAAATATGCTGATAATGGTGATAACTGTGACGGTAAGGAGAGAGGGAGTAGAACTGGTGCCCAGTTGCTCACCACCCACTGATTGATCACCCTGAGCCCCTTCCAGGTGACTTCTTCCAGTTTGAATACTGGGAATGACAGTCCGTGGGTGGAATGTCCCTTTGGACAGCTCGGGTCACCTGTCCTGGCCAGTTTTTGGTGCAGCTCCTCCCCGGCAGAGCAGGAGACTCTGAGCAGTCGTGGGGTGAACGGTGCTCAGGAACAGCCCAAACATCAGGGTGGTAGTGATGGAATTCTCATATAAATCCTCCAAAAACCAGCACTATTCCAGCTGCTGAGAGGAAAATGAGCTCTGTCCCAGCCAAAATCAGGGCAACCCTTTGATCCCTGGGGAGAGAGGGACCACAAAGGACCATAAACCTCGAGGGGGTTCCCACGGAGTAACTGCTGGAGCGCCAGCCAGCCACGATTTGCCATCTCCGTGGTTTTCCCCTTCTGGAAATCTGTGTGAGAGTTTGTTCCTGTCTCTCTTCTGCCGAGCCCGAGGAAGGCCTGGAAATGGCAGTCTTTGTTCTGTGCCCAGACGAGCCTTCTCCTTCCCCATCCCACTGTCCAATCGCCTGGCAGCTCGGATTTCCCTGGATCTCCCCGGTGCAGCTGCTGCACCCGCCTTCGAGGCCTCCATCCAGCCTGTTCAGCTGCCTCCAGACCCTGGAGCCTGCCTAAAAACAGGAATGGGTTACAAAATCGGCCACCACTCACTGCTTTCCGTGTGCAGTGGGGAGCTGGGAGGCACCCCGAGCAAGGATTTAATCCCCACACTGAGTATTTATCACTCTGCTTTTAAATTATTTAATTATCCCCCTCGCAAGGTTTAAAACTGTCTGGTTTTGGTGCAGTGCTGGAGGTTTTATTGGCTCCTTCAATGCAGGGAATAACTGTTAGGAATTGCTTTCTCCCACTGTGCAGACAACCAGGGTGGCACCTTGAGCTAAATAAATTAGTTCTCTAATCCGATTTTTTCCCATCAGTTTAATGGTTTTGATTAATAAAACCCTCGAGCCAGCTGATGCTCGGTGGTGATGCCTTCCAGTCAAAGGAAATCCGAGGAGTTTGGTGATTCCCTCACGAAAGAACAGCGTCCTCAGCCCACTTTGGCAAAGCCTCGCTTGCCTGAGAGGTGTAACGAAGATTTATGAGGGTGGGTGGGTTTTTGTTTGGTTTTTTTGGTTTTTTTTTTTCACTAATTAAAAAATTGCTGATGGCAGACTGCAGCTTTGTGAGGCTTAAAACTGGAACAGCTCCAGGGGTTTCATGCTCGCTTTGAGTGTTTTAAAAATCACCGTCCTGTCAATCCCGACTCAGGGCGAGCAGGAAAACCACGAGGAGGAATCTGAGGCAAAATGGTGGGTTTGGGTGATCTTTGGGTGGTTTCAGGTCAGTCTTTTTTTTTTTTTTTTTTTCTTTTGCCTGAGTGACCCCAAAGTGCTCTGGATCGCTCGGAATTTCCTACTCCCGTGGCACCCTTCGGGGATGTGGTGGTGGAGAGGCTGCTGTGCTTTGGAATTCAAAGAGCCCAAGATGTAACAGGAACAGCCAGCCCAGCTCGGGCAAAATGACTTCCAGACACAGAACTGGCTCAGATTGAATGTCAGCACAATTCCTATTCCAGCCTTTTTTCAGGAGTGGAAGTTGCTTGGCCTCCCTGCCTCAGGGAGGGGGCCCTGCAGGAATTCTGCATGCAGTCTGAGGCTCTTAATAGGTTAAAGTTGTCTAAAATACTGTGGTTGGAAAGCTGCTCAGCATTTCTAGGGGAGATTGGCTTTATTTAGGGCCTCCCAGTGATGGGATTAATATTGATTCCTGACCCATGTGCTGTGTGATGGAAAGGCATAAATTGGCTACATTTTCTTACCCAGCACCCTGAACAGAAACTGAAAACTGGGATTTCCTGCACCTTGGAATGTGGTCCACGTTTCACTCCTGGGATTTGGGGTCTGTGTGACCTCCCTTTTCCATGGGAACAAGAAAACCCTTTTCCTCCCTTGCATTTGTGCTGGGGAGGGATGCAGCTGGTGTGAAAGGCACATTCCTCTCTACTTCCCTGCTTTGGGAAGACAGGAGACATCTACCTCTGTGTTAGCCAGGAGTGGGTTTTGGTTGGGTTTTTTTTGTTTTGTTTTGTTTTTAAATTCTTGTGGTATTTTTAGCTATTTTCATGGAGATTATCTCAGCCTCTGTGCTTCCAAGTGTAAATTCTGCCCCCAGAGGAGCTGGCACTGCCACCTTAAATTGTCCCCGGATATCTCAGGCCGTGATATGCCCAAATCATTTCACTGCTGCCCTTTTCAGTGTATAGATTGCTGAAGCACGGCAGTGTTCCTCTTCCCACTGCTGCCCTGGGAGCCTCTCCCACCTCACAGCTCCCCTTTCCCTTCCTGCATCCTGCTCCTTTCCCTCCCACTGCTGGTGGCCCTTTCTGTCCCCTCCCTTCCCAGCAAAGCCCCAAAGCAGAGCTGTCTGCCTGGGAATCCCAGCTGGAATTCCCAGGGATACAGGCTGGAGGGGAGGAAAAACACTGGGATTTAGTGTTTGCAGCTTCCCCTGTTGGCAGAGTCCATCCAGGAGCAGGCCCTGCCTCCCCTCCTGTGGGATCAGACTAGTGAAGGGGGGGCAGGTCTCCCTTTCTTCCAGGGGCTTCTGTCCCCAGACTGTCAGGTTTTGGTGGTTTTTTTGGGGCATGGGGTCAGTTTGATGAACGAACAGAACGTGCCAGTGCTTACAGAGCAGGGATGTGCTGCAGGACGGTGTTTAATACGAGTTTTTGCCAAGGAAGAGCTTGTGCTTAGCTGAGGAGCAGTGGCTGGGGATCCCTGTGGCCCCTGGTTACCAACCCCCTTTACCTGCCCCGTAGGAGTCCTGCTGAGCCAGTGCAATCCCTGTCCCACAGAAGCCTGGGAAGCAGTGCCACCCCTGCCAGCAGTGCCAGCCCGCTGACATTCCCCGTGCCAAGCAGGTAACCCTTCTGCTGCTCCTCTAAAATCCCACCCTGGGAGGGGGCTCAGTCCCTCCAGGGATCCCCCTGAGCTTCTCCTCCCTCTCAGTGACTGCTCTGACAGCTGCTCCCACTCCACTCAGCACTTCATCCTGAGGGTCCCTTCCAGCTCAAGATATCCTGGGAAATTCTGTGTTGAGTGGCCAGATACCGCTGGAATCCGGAGCAGGGGGACACGTCACCAGTGGCATGTTCTCAATCCTTCCTCGCACCTATTTATTTCCAGAGCCCAGGCTTTTGTTCTGTGAGGGGTTTGAAGGGGACTGCTCAGTCACCCCCACTGCCCTGGATTCCCAAAGCTGGAGAACTCGGGGTTATCCCTCTCCGACGTTTTCTGCTCCGTTGGAAGACGTGGATCCGATGCTGCTTCTCTTTTTAAAATTTGTATTTAATTCATTATTGCCCTCACAGACCAATTCCCAGGTGTCATTCCTACTCTTCCAGCAGGCAGGATGGAATTTGTGCTGTGTGTGGTGGATGTGAACTGGGATTCACTGGTTTGGGACTCAGCTCCCCTCAGGCTGCAGCATTCCTTCACTCAGGCCACCTTTGAGACTCTCTTAATTCACAACAGACAATTCAAAATCAAGATCCTGTTCTTGAAAGACAAAAAGAGTTTGTAGTTGCATTGCCTGAATTAAGAACTCCTGCCCCTCACTTTTATGGCCGCACAGCTGAGGGTTTAAAAACCCAGAAGATGCCTCTGGGTACTTTAATTTCCATCAGGGAAGTTTGAGGGTGTTTTTATTCTTAATGTGTTTACAGGAAACTTCTTGTTCCTATGCAGGATGAATTTTCAGAAGTTTGCATACTGTTTTAGGAAAACCAGATTATTTAAGAAGTCAGTTCTATAGGGTTTGAAGTTATTCCTCACCAGGGGCAAGGCCACCAGTGAAACCTTTGGTTTCCAAATCTCAAGTCTCTGATCATGTTCTTATATCTAAAACTTAAAAAAAACCTCCATAAAACCAATCAAGGCAGCTCTTTGTCTTATTTTATAAACCTGACAGTGTGTGAACTCGAGAGGGTTTTTTTTTTGCTGTTGCATTTTATCTTCAGAAAGTCACTTCTCTTTAAAGCAAAAATCAAGAAATCTTCTTCCGAGCGGTTTGATCCGGTGATTTTTTTTTTAAGGAGTCATGGTAACGCTTCTGTAAGGGAGCCAAGGTGCTGTTGCAAGCAGAAATACAAAATTCAGGCGTTTTGTCGTAATTCTGTGTCCTGGTTTGAGCCCAGTTGACAACCAAGCCCCACCCAGCCCTCGCTCACCCCCTGCCCCCCTGGGATGGAGGAGAGAACTGGGAGGGTAAAAGTGAGAAAATGTAGGTTTGAGATGAACAGTTCGGTGGGTAAAGCAAAGCAAGGAATTCATCCCCCACTTCCCAATGGTTGGGAAAGCAGGGCTCCATCCCAGCAGGCTTGGGAAGGTGTCATCACTCCCAGCATCCCCTCCATCCTTCTTCTCCCCCCAGCTTTATCCCCTGAACGTGACACCACATGGTCTGGAGTATTAACTCTCTCTCCCACGGGTCTGCAGGTTCTATATTTAGCTCTCTAAACTAAAAGCCAGCTTTATATTGCTGGGTTAAATTAAAAATATCGATTATTCGGTGACATTTTCTTAAAGGTTGGGTTTTTGGTGGTTTTTTTTTTTTGTGGCACGTGTGGTTTCCTGTGGTCTGCACCACTTGAAAGTTGCTCCTGAGCCCCTCAGGGTGGTTGCCTGTCCAGGAGGGTGATGGTAACCCATTGTTTGGATGATATGTCAGATATCTGATACAATCATCAATCTGCACGATGAGCTTCTGAAACTGTAAATGTGACCCTTTAGCCCAAAGCAGAGAGTTGGGGGTGAACAGAAATCACAGGAAATACAAGACACTGCAGCTGCACTGTGGAAATTCTGGTAATGACTAAGCAGGTGTCGGTTTTGTTTTGCAGCTCAGTTCCAGTTCTGGGTAAAATCCTGTGAAGTGTCTCTTTCCCCTGAGATGTGAGAAGTACTTAGAGCACTCTTGACTCAGAAAATGTATTTATAGCCCTTGGGTTTCTGCTGGTGGGATGGCACAATTTAACTTTTAAGGAAGGGCTGTGCTCCTGATAAACACCTGTGAATAATAATCTGTGGTGGATTTGGATGTGACCAGTTTGGGACGTTTTTTTGTTTGGACCTAATGGTTCGTCAGGAATTTGAGATTGTTGGGTTGGCTCTAGATTTGGGGGAACTTCTCGTTTAAGTTGAATAAAGATTGTCCATGGCTGGACATCTCTGGAGAGGACAAGCCAGGCAGCTCTGGGCTGTCTTCTTCTGGGAAGTGCTGGGTGTTGTCCCTGTGCAAGGAAAAGTGCCTTAAAGACTAAGAAATGCCTGCCTGAAGGAGGATCTTCAGTTTTCTCGGTGTGGGTCATTGTCCTGCCATCTCTCAGTGACAGTTTAATTTCTAGGCAGGTTTTTAAGGTGTTTGTACCAGTTCCTAATTGACCTCCCTTAACGACCTACTTCCAGCAGGTTGCTGGGATGTGTCCCAGATCCCCTCGGGCCGCAGCGTTTCCTTGCCTTCACTCAGGGCCACCTCAGGGGGGTTTTTAAGGTCCTGCAGTTCCCAACGGACAATTCAAAATCAAAATCCTGTTCCGAAAGGCAGAAAATCTGTGGTTCCGTTACCTGGAACAGGTTAAGAACTTCTGCCCCTCACCTTGATGGCTGCACAGCTGAGGGTTTGACAGCCCTGTTAGTAATGATTTGTGTGAGAAAGGTGAGTTCATTTAATGAAGTGAAGCTGTGAGAAATTTCCTAAACCGGGCCACGCTCTGTCTCGCTCGATGGGTTGTTGTTCATTAGGATTGTTTTCAACTTAAGTGTCAGGATGTGTTGACACCGCTAATTAAATTACAGATTTAAAATAGCTCGGCTTGAACGACAAAAAACTGCCTCATTTGCTGACTTCTGCTGCATCATAGCAAATATTATGTAGTTTTAGTGCAATTGGGGGTGGTTTCTTTGTGCGTTTAGGGGTCTACATGTGGGTGCTGTGTTTGGGGGCACAGCAGGAGGGACACACAAAACTGTACTTGAAAGTTTCCTGCTCTTATTTGTTAAATTATTTGTAGGACATTCTGTACCGTTCCTCCTTATTTTTTTATCCATCATCCCATTTTTGGCCTCTGGAATCGCAGGGTGTGAAGGGAGGAAGAGTCCAGCACTAAAAAGGTGGCCTGTCCACGTTCCATTAACAGAATTCCAAGTGCTGATCCGTTCACAGAGGAGGAGGGTGGTGTGTCCTGTCACAACTGCAGCTCTGAACTGATGCTTGTTTGAGGAAATATATAAGCAGCCCTATTTTTATCTTGTTTAGAAATTGAAAAGATTCAGAAGGGTGAAACGACAACAAAGAAGGATGAGGAAGAGAACTACCTGGATTTATTTTCCCACAAGAATATGAAGCTGAAAGAACGAGTTCTGATCCCTGTCAAACAGTACCCCAAGGTGAGGGCCAGAAAATAGCTACTGAACCTCTGGGATTTGCTTCTTTTCTGCAGGTTTTGTGGCTGACTGAGAGACAGTGGCTGTCAGAGTGTCAGCAGGAGTTAATAGAGCCTTCCACCATCACTGTGGAATTTTTCCTGTGCAGGCTTGCAGGATCTTATTTCTAATATATTGCATTTCTAGAATGTCTCGGGATAAAGCTTTCATGGTGATGCAGAGCTGGGGTATTTTATTGCTTTCATGGGTAGAGCTTTGTGTTTTACTGTTAAAAAAACCCATTTAACTCATTCAGACTCGCTGCCTGTAAAGCTGCTGCAGAGGAGATGCTGGAATTAAACACTTCAGGGGAGTTAACTGAGCTTGATTTTTCTGGTGGAGCATTTTCTTCGTGAAATGAATGTTTTGAAACTTAAGTTTTTTACTTTGGTCTTTGTTTTTTGGTGAGGTGAGGAGCAAATGGAGTGACTGATGTGGTTTTTTTTGTTGTTGTTGTCAGCCAACATGACATACAGAAAAGCTTTTGCTGAAGCTGCTGGACTCTGGAGCTAATTTGTTCCCTTGTCTTAATTCCCCTCGCAGTTCAACTTTGTCGGAAAGATTTTGGGACCTCAAGGCAACACCATTAAGAGACTTCAGGAAGAAACTGGTGCTAAGATTTCTGTGCTGGGGAAGGGTTCAATGAGAGACAAAGCCAAGGTAAGGGCATCACCCTGAAAACGTGCACACACATAATCCCCTTCGTGTTGCTGTGAGAGGCAGCGCCTCTCGGAGCATTTTGTGAAAGATTAAACCATCCTGATCCAAAGGCAAAGCAGGAGGAATTGTGCTGTGCTTGTTGGAGCAATTGGTTGGGGGCTGAAGCGTGGTGGATGTTTTCTTTGGGAGGAGGACTCATAACCCAGACATCTTGTGCTACCCTGTGCCCTTGGCCTATGTGAGACATGAAATACAAAGTTTATAAACTCAAAATTAATCCCAGCTACTCCCTGAAGTGTCCTTCGCTAAAGGAATATGTTTCCCCCTCCATAAAAAAAAAATGAAATCCTTTTTCTAGCTGTTCTCTCTGAAGTCCTTAAATTCTCATGGTTCATTGAAGATCTTGGAGCAGTATGTTCCTGGTAATCTTTAGTGAATCACAAAGTGCCAGGAGGTGTTTTTATAACAAGAAAAAAAAAATGAAAAGAATGTGTGTTGTTTTGTTTTGTTTTTTTCTTCCTGCTTGTTCCCAAGACTGAGCTGAGAGTCAACAGAGCTGTAACTTAATTCAGGTTTTACTCAAGCTGCATGAAAAGCTTTTACACTTCCAGCTTGTTTGTAGCTTCCTAAACAGCTGAATAACAGTCTGAATAACAGAGGCGTCTCAGAGAATCTTATTTGAGGCATTAGAGCTTCCTGAGGTGGTTAAAGAGCACTTTTGTAGGTGTAGAGGAGGAAGAACAAGAAGCTTGGATATAAATCTCCTGGGGTAAAAAAAAAATTTGGCTGGGGTCAATTAAAAATATTGCCATTAGCAAAAACAAGTCACCTGAAGAGGCAGCTGTAAGAAGCTGGGAGGTGTGGATTGTACGTGGCTTTTCACAGAACTGTGCTCCAATCCACGGTCTGTTTACATCATCTGTGTCCAGATGCTTCTACAGAGGTCTCCTGTGTTAAGGCTCAGAGAGCAGGTAAAAAGAAAAGCAGTTTTTCTGGGTGTTTTTTTTTTTTTAACTTTGGGAACCCCTTGCTGTGCTCTGTTTCAGGAGGAGGAGCTGCGCAAGGGGGGGGACCCCAAATACGCTCATCTCAACATGGACCTGCACGTCTTCATCGAGGTTTTCGGGCCCCCCTGCGAGGCCTATGCCCTGATGGCTCATGCCATGGAGGAGGTCAAGAAATTCCTTGTGCCAGTATGTATAGGCTGACAGGTCTTTTATTTTTGGGGGGAGGTGGGGTGAGTGGTGAGCCTGGCTCAGGGATGGGTAGGATTTGCACAGGGTAGTCTCACTTGGGGTAACCCTCTTAATCCTGCAGGAAGGTATTTATTATTCCTCTAACCATGATTAGTATGACCGAAAAAACCCACAGGGCAATGGTATAGAGCACTTGGAGTAGGTGTTTCCCTCCCAGTACGAGCTGTGGATGCTTGGGGTGGGCAGCTTGTCCAGCTCCACGTGCCAGTTTTAGTGGGAGAAGAAGTTTAATCTTGCCTGGCGTGGAAGGGGGTTCTTAGACGGGTTCCTCTGAGTTGCAACTGTAGAAATCCAGCTGGAAAACTTCACTGTCAGATCAGGAACTTAAATACTCAACGTGACTGGCATAAGATTGCTGTGGAGAAGTGGCCACTGGGATGGGGCTGGGTGACATCAGGTACCTCCAGCAGCTCTGTGAGAGAGATCCCCTTGCCAGGGACCAGCTGTGTGCTCACCTGAGCTGCTGGACATGCAGGTGCCAGGACCTTCTTTGCAGAAAGCTGCCCTGTTACCTGCTGAGCAAATCCCAGTAAAACCAACCAGCAGATTTTAATTTAGGACTATTCGGTTGTTTCTATTCCAGCGCAGTAGCCTGGGATATCCCAGGGCACAGCCTGGCTAGTTGGCTGTTCCCTGGCACTGACTCTCTCCTCCCTTTCCAGGATATGATGGATGATATCTGCCAGGAGCAGTTCCTGGAGCTGTCCTACCTGAACGGTGTTCCGGAGCCAAACCGCGGCCGAGGAGTCCCCGGGCGGGGCAGGGGAGCAGCTCCACCACCACCTCCACCTGTCCCCAGGTATCTTTCCCAAAAGCACACACCTGGAAGTGCTGCATTTTGCTCGAGGGCTGTCCTGTTTAAGAGGTTAAACTGCTTGTTCTTGCACATCAGCTGTTGGGCTCGGCCTTGGATTTTGGCCAAGGCTGTTCCAGCCTTGTGTTGCAGGCTCGCCTGGAGCACGCTGGCATCCGATGTTTTGCATGTTTTGAGATGTAATCTAACACAGTGGGTGTTTTCTGTGTTATTTTTGATGCCTGCAATCAATAGTTTTATAAAGCAACCTTTCAGAAATTGGCCTGTGAAACTGTGTGTAAACAGATCTTGTGCAGCCTTCAGCAGAACAAGCATTTTCAGATTAAACTGGCATCGTTTGAGAGCTCTGGGATGGCATCATTCTGTCAGGGCTGTCAAGGCTTTGGGATAAATTGGCAATAAAGCTGTTACTATAGTTCTTCCTTCACTCCCTGTTTCATGGGGTAGTGTCTTTCCTTCTGCCTGTTTAGCCCTGACGTGTCCCCCCTCATCTCATCACTGATCCTTACGGATCTGCAGGTCTGGAAGCCATCCCAGGTCAGTGAGCGCCAAGAAATCACCTGCCCAAATTCCTGTATCTCATTTACTCCTCTGCCTGTACATCTAATGCAGCAGATTTCTCATCCCGAGGGAGGTTTTTTGCAAATCCTGCAAGGGCAACAACGTTAATTCTTGTGCTGATAAAGGATTCGTGGCTTAGCTGATGGCAGCTCCGTTCAGTTACCAAGTTGTTGCATTTTAAAGCAGACGCAAGAATCCCCGCAGGAGGTGCTCACAATCCTCCTCCTCTATTTCCAGGGGCCGTGGGGTTGGTCCCCCTCCTCCTCCTCCTCCTCCTCGGGGGGCCCTGGTTCGAGGAGCCCCAGTGCGAGGGGCCATCGCTCGGGGGGCCACCATAGCCCGGGGGGTGCCCCCTCCTCCAGCAGTCAGGGGGGCTCCTGCACCCCGAGCACGGGCAGCTGGCATCCAGAGGATACCCCTTCCTCCTCCTCCTGCACCGGAAGCCTACGAGGAATATGTAAGGAATTCCTTATTTTCGGTTTTCTAATTCCAGCTGAATGTGTCTTAGATATTCGACCTGGCTGGCAGCAGATTGCTTGGGGGGAAGTGACCACCAGTGGCCACTGGGATGGTGCTTGATGACCTTCTCTGCCTCTTTAACCCTCAGAGAAGAGAACTGCAAGTGTCCTATATCCAAAGTAAGGATTGCTTTTTATAAATGTTCCCCCAAGAACTGAAGTTTTCCATGGCTTCCAGTGCATGGTATGCAAAATTACGTCAAAGATTGGTGTAGTTCATGTAACGTTCCCTTTTTAAGAGATTTCTTTAAGCAAGAGGCACCCAAGGCTTCTTCCATCCACTAAAATCCTTAAATAAGTGAACGAACAGGGGGATGTTTCAAGCTGTATAACTCAGCACCACCCTCCTGCCAAGCTTATCTTGGCATCTGTGCTCCTGGTGTCCCAAAGGACAAACAAGGCAAGTGGCTTTGATGCACAGCGGCATTTTGGGGAATTGTCACAACTATTGATGCATCTTAAAAGTGTTTCTCTTCTCAGTAAAATGTTTTCTCAGCCATAAGTTCAGAGGTTGGGGTTTGTCTAATTGTGAATCTGTGGTTTAGACATCACAGAATGTCCTGAGCTGGAAGGGACCCTCAAGGACCATCCAGTCCAACCCCTGGCCCTGCACAGACACCCCAACATTCCCACCCTGTCCCTCAGAGCATTGTCCAAACCCTCCTGCAGCTCTGGCAGCCTTGGGGCTGTGCCCACTGCCCTGGGGAGCCTGTTCAGTGCCCAACCACCCTCTGGGGGAAGAACCTTTTGCTAATAACACAGCTCCAGGTCTCCTGGCACGGGGGTTTGTCCCTCAGTCCAGCTGCAGCCTTGGCCATGAATTATAAATATTACTGTGATTCATTCCTCCCGAGCCACGGGACACAGCAGGTCTCATCTCTGTCTGCCGCTTCCCCCTGGCAGGGAAGGATTTCCAGGCTCTTCTGGAAGCTGCTGTAGCCTGGGTTCAGTCCTACCATCCCTGTTGGCCAGGAATTACCCTTTGGTCCTTCCATTTACACCTTTATGTCGTGATCCGTTGCAGGGCTACGACGACACGTACGCAGACCAGAGCTACGAGGGGTATGAGGGCTACTACAGCCAGGGCCAAGGGTGAGTTGGCTTCTCTGTTCCTGAGCAAACAATGCATGACCTTTATTATTTTTTTTCCATTTTAAGGGAGTGCAAACCCTCATTTCTGGGTCTGAGCTGTACAGAAGGTGCCCTGTTGTGCTGCAACCCAGGAGAGCCTGGGAAGTGGCACGGACAACACCGGGCGTCTCTGCTTGTCCAGTGTTTTGTGCGAGTTGTGTCAGTTTGAGACTGTGATTTCACTGGGTGTAACCACCTAATTACTCTTCCAGGGACACAGAATACTATGATTATGGACACGGGGAGGCACAGGAAACCTATGAAGCTTATGGTATGTCTGGGAATACTGCTCCTTTTCACGGGGAAGGGGCTGCACGTAGTTTGGGAATTGCTTGTGGTCAACCAGCAGTTTTCCAGGGTCTGAACAAAAACTGAGGAGAAGCTCAAGTAGTTTTCATGGTAGAACATTTATATCGAGGTCTGAACAACCAGAGACGATCTGTGGGTTTAGATCCCTATCAAACTTGATTGTCTCAAAGATGATGCCTTAAAAAGGAGATATTTTTTAACTATGGAAATATCTTCATTTCCTTGTAGCTTTAGAATATTTTTAAGAGCTCTGGGTTTCCACCCACAGCACTACTGCTGCAGTCTGGTCCTCATGGACTGTGTTTTATATGGCTCCATCTGCTTCCTTATCCTCAAAAACCCGCTACCTGATCCCGACTCTGTGCTGTACATTTGCTTGGAAAATGGATTTGTGTGTCACATAAAGGCCTCTCTTTGGAACAAGTTTGCTCGTTACGACTTGCAAGTAGCTTGTGAAGTTTAGTTAATCTGAATTATGTGAATGTACTGACTGAGGCTGGACTGAACCAAACTGTTGGGGCTTGACCCCAAGGGGCAGCCAAGCCCCACCAGCCACTCCCTCCCTCCCCATTCCTGGGATGGGGGAGAGAGATTTAAGGGTAAAAGTGGGAGAACTCACGGGTTGAGATAAAGACAATTCAGTGGGAAAAGCAAAGTAAAACAAGGAATTAGTTCCTTGCTTCCTTGGGAAGACAGAAGTTCACTCCAAAAGTTCTCCCCTCAGCTGTGGCTGCATTTCTTTTTTAAGCCAGTCCCCATACCCAGGCTTGGAATGGCAGCTGCACATGGCAATGAGTTAAGAAGCATTTTCCTCTCCCTCTAAACAAGCCTGTGCTGCTTTGGGCTGGGGCAGGGTTAATTTTCTTCCCAGTGGCTGCTCTGGGGCTGAGATTGGGATTTGTGCTGATGGTACAGAGATGGTTGGTTGTTGCTGAGCAGAGCTCACACTCAGCCAGGGCCTTGCCTGCTCCTTGCACTGCCACTCTGGCATGGGCCTGGGGAAGCTGGGAGGGCACACAGCCAGGACACTGCTCCCAGCTGACCGAGGGGATATTCCAGATGGCACATGACATCATAAATTCCCAAAGCTGCCCAGCGCAAAGGCACAGAATTCCATGTGGTGGGAGACAGTCCCTTCCCCAGGGCATCAGCTGAGTGAGTGCAGGTAGTGGCATTAATGACCAGCTGGAGAGTCATTTCTGGGATCCCTGGGAATCCCCTGTGCCCTGTCGTGCCAGTAAACAGGGAAGCAGAGTTAATACCCTGCTCCAGCCTCGGGGTGTTCCCCGCTCCGGGTTCAAGTTGTGGGAAGTTCAAACTCAGGTGCCTGAGCGGGGCTGTTTTCCAGCCTAAGCTGCATTTGAGCAGACAGCTGCTCCCAGGAACGTTGGCTCTCTCCTGCCTTCAGTGCCTGGGTCTGCTGCCTGTGTTTGTCACGCAGCACAAAGAGCCCTTTGTGCCTCCGGCTTGGTGGGAGAGCGGCGGAGTCGGCCGGGATTGGGAGGCCAGAATGCTCATTGTACGCTTGGCACGGAGTTGCCACAGCTAATCTGTTTATCCACAGCAATTTCCTTTGGTCTCTGCTTTCATGAAAACAGAATTAGAGGAATAAATCACTGGGCCAGGCTGGAGACAGTTCGGAGAAAGAGGGAATGTGCTCGGTGGTGGCAGGAACAGGCTCGGCTGTCGTGGGACTCCTGATTTCATAAAGTGCTGACCCTGGAGGGACTGGCAGGAGCACGAGCATGGATGTTGCAAGCACAGGCCCTAATGAGAGCTGAGCTTTTGGGATATTTGGGGCTGGAGCTGGCTCAGGGACAGCAGGGATGTGAACTCCATTTGCTTCAGTGGCGGTTCATGGAATCCTGGAACAGTTTAGGGCGGGAGGGACCTTAAAGATCATCTCGTTCCAACCCCCACCACGGGCAGGGACACCTTTCACCAGCCCAGGATCTGGTGTCTGGGAAGGAGGGAAGCACTTCCTGCAGCTGTCCCTGATGGCCAGGCCCTGGGATTAGGGATGCTGGCATAACCTCTGGCACAGCTGGTGCCACCCTGCCCTGGGGATTGGCTTCAGCCCTGCTGGAATTAGTTAATCCTGAAAGGCACCGGGTTTGTCCAGGCTGGAGCTGCAGGAAATCCCAGGGATCCTTATGATGAGAGACTAAGGGAGCTGGGCCTGGTTAGTCTGGGGAGGGAATCTCATGGATCCATACAAATATCTCACCAATCCATAGAGAAATCTCCAGGGGGTGGCAGAGGATGGTCCCAGACTCTGTTCAGTGACAGGACAAGGAGCAGCGGCCATAAACTAAAACACAGCAAGTGTCTGAGGCAGAACTCCTTTCCATGGAGGTGGCAGGGCCTGGAACAGCTGCCCAGGGAGGGTGTGGAGTCTCTGGAGACATCCCAGACCCCCCTGGACACGTCCCTGTCCCATAACACTGCAAGGTGTAGCGGTGGACGTGGCAGTGCCGGGTGAATCGGGCTCAGCCCTAAAGGGCTTTTCCGGCCTAAATGATCCCACAAATCCGGTGTTTAGTTGGACCTCGGGGCACTTTCCAACCCCGCCACCGCCTCCCTGATGTCTCCTTGTCTTCTCCACAGGGCAAGATGACTGGAATGGGACCCGGCCCTCGCTGAAGGCCCCGCCGGCCAGGCCAGTGAAGGGGGGCTACCGAGAGCACCCCTACGGACGCTACTGAGAAACAAAATGAGGGAAAAATCCCACTTTTGAGCAAAAACAGTTGTTACTGATTCTTGTATCTCCCGGGATTCCCGTTGCTTTACCCACAGCAGACAAGTAATTGTCTACCTGTTTTTCTTCGTGGCCCTGTTTTTTCTCCCACTCCATCCTCACCCTGCATTTTGGCTTCTGTACGTAGTACTTTTAAAGATGAGTTAAATTAGATCTTAGAGGAAGCGACTTTTAATTTTTATTATTATTTTTATTTTTTTTTTTTTTTTTCAGTGTGTAGATGGCTTTTCTTTCTTTGTCGTTTAGGTAAACACAACTGTACCTTTTTTTTTTTTTAAGGAAAAACAAAAACAAAAAAAACAACAACAACAAAAAAAAATCCTACAAAACCACAGTTTAAAAATGTTAGTTTCCAAAGTGACATGCTTTGCTTAGCAGTTATGAAATTAAGGTTTTTGTTTAAAACTTTCTTAAAGTTTGTTTTAAAGGAACCCATAAAGGTTGTAGTTGCAGAATCCCAAAGTAGGCTACATTTCAAAATTCAGGGCTATTTTTAAGAATTAAAATCATAATGTAACGGTAGTAGCTGCCACCATTTTTAAAAAAAAAAAAAAAAAAAGTAACTTCAGATGCCAAACCTTCTTTAAAAGGAGATTGCTGGTGAATCTTGAAGTTTAAATTTTAATACGAAGGATCCTCCAACAAATTAAATAGCGTATTTTTTTTTTCCTAAAGAGAATTGACCTAAAAGAAAAATTAGGTTTGTAAAATTGACTTTTCTTATGTGGATTTTGAAATCTAGCCCCCCCGTGCAGTGTTGAGATATGCTTGGGAAGCACATTTTTCCAGTGTAAAAAAGGGGTTCTTAGTTTGGTTCTAAATGAACAACTCTTAAGGGAAAAACAAAACAAAACGAAGCATGGCTCTAATTGCCCAGTGTTTGATAGTAGAAAGCAGAATATTCCATGAGTAGGTCTGAACTCTGTAAAATTCTCTTTTTTTTTTTATAGTGCTTGGGGCAGATAATCCAGTGCAAGTTTAAAATTGAAACCAAAAAAAAAAAAAAAAAAAAAAAAAAAAAAAAAAAAAAAAAAAAAAAGTCAATATTAGCAGTCCCATCGACTTGTTCAAGTGTATCTCAGCACGAGCTTTGCATAAAAAGGGACACTGCAGCTGGGAAAGAAAAAAAACAAACAAACAAACAAACAAAAACTGATCAAAAAAATTTCACTTTGTACATAAGATAAAGTCCTAATTGGATTTGTACACTGTCCTCCCACTCTGTTCTTGAAGAGAAAATGCTCCGTGTGTAAGTCTGCCTAACTAGGTAGCTAAAAGCGTGTCAAAAATGTCTGTCGCAATTTGTCAATAAAGTTTAGTCCTTTTTTAATCAAAGTAAATGTGATGAATTGTCATTTGTTTTGGTTGAGCGATAAAAAAATAGCGATATTTGCTCCTTTTTTTTTTTTTTTTTTTTTTTTTTTTTTTTTTTTTTTTTTTTTTTTTTTTTTTTTTTTTGTTCGTTCGTTTTTAAGTAAATTTAAATTAACGCTAAAGCTTAATTGTCTTTTTAAAGCGATGGAGACATTCTAAAAAAAAAAAAAATGGTGGTTTTTTTTGTAATTTTCATCAGAAAAAGAAAAAAAAATTTGCTGAGCTTGTTGAATGAGCTTAAATTTAAAATATATATATATATATATATATATATGAGAAAAAGAAAAGTTAGTTTTTCACCCCCTGGAAGTTGTTGAAAGCGGTTTGAGCCTGGACTGGGGCAGAAATCTTGACTTGGAAAGCGTTTTATGGTTCTTTGCAGAGTTACTGATTCAGATTTCAAGTGGCCTCGGAGAATATTCCAGGGCTGCAGAACTCCAGCTTGAGCCTGAAATCCCTGCTTTAAGCAGCGTGACAAAAGGAATGCTGAAAATTCCAAGGCTTAGCTGCCACCAGGAGGAGAAGGAAGTTGCTTTCCCTTGGCTAAGATGATGCCCTTCCTACTTCACGGTAGCTTTTACTTGGAAAAACCACTTTAAAATGTATTTTTGTTGGAGAACAGTGCTGCAGCTGCTCCTTAAATCCTTCTGAGAGGGTGTGGATGTTCAGAGATATATTATATATATATATATATATAAAATATATATATATTTAAAAGTAAAATGCTTCTTAAAGAGACATGAAAAAGATTGTTTGTGTTTCCCATCTCCCAGACGAATTTGGAACTCTGAAGGGGAGAGAACTAAACTGCTCGGGGGTGAAAAATAAGAATATTAGGGAGCAAACTGTGGCAGCGCATGAACAAGGGGAATACTTTAAAACAAAAAAAAAAACAAAACCAAAACAAAGCCAACAGCAAAAAAACCATGAAGTTGTATTTGTAGATTGTTATTAAAGTGCAAATAACCGAATTTTCAACACTGGTTTGGAGTCAGCTTTCAGGGTATAATGTGTTGCTTGATGAAAAGATCAGCCCATAAGACCCCCTTTTAAAGGAAAATTATCGCAGGAGAATCAGGATGTGTAAAGCTAACATGCATCGCCCAAAAGGTAACCTAAATGTCTGATTTTAATAGCGCATTTCTCTTTTCCATAAACCCCGTGACGTAAAACTTTTTTTATCCAGCCAAACCTTCAGATGTTTTAATTTTAATGTAAAAAAAAAGAAAAAAGAAAAAAACCCAACAAACTTGCAAAAAAAAAAAGGAAAATGTTTAAAAATAAAAAACGTTTTAAAACAACCCACATGGGTTTTTTTTTTCCTGCATAAATTAGCAATAACTTTAATAACGTGCCCTCGGAAAAAAAAAA